CGTTATTCACTAGAGCTGAGATAACAAGTTCAACTTTGTCTAAATCAGCCTTTCCTCTAAGGTTCAGTGCAAGTGTCCTCAACCCCCATGGGGTCTTTTCCCAAGAAAAATACCCCTGACTCCCATCTTGGGCCACAGGCTGTACAGTTGGTGAATTAGTTACAGACCAAGTTGATGTCACACTGTTCTTGTTGACCTTTGTAAATCCTCTTCTGCTTTATTTATTCTCATTTTAGTCTAATTTCCATCCCCCCAACAGGCACCTATTCTTGTGTGCACTTTTTAAAATAAAAGATAGTTTCACACAAATTTAGTACACAATGTTATCTTAGCATAGTGAAGAGTCAGTATCGCAGGATGATACTTGGTTACCACGCAGTGATCACCACCGCCCCAAACACGAAACAGGAGCCAGTAGCACTCAGAGCCTCCTGCGCTCCTGCCAGCCAGTGTTCCCTTCTTGCTGTCAAAAGCGTCTTCTTTCTTAAGCTCACACAGTACTTTCTGCTTGTTTCTGAGCTTTGCGTAAATTGAACAGTTCAAGATGTATTCTATGGTGTCTGTCTTCTTAGATCAAACATTATGTTCTTGAGATTTACTCTGCTATACACCAGAAACTGACACAACATTGTAAATCACATAGACTTCACATACATGCATACATACATACATACACACATGCATGCATTTCCCTGGGCCCTATGAACAGAGACTCTGATTCCATTAATCTGCAGAGGATCAAAGAATGTGTATTTATCAGCAAGCATCCTAAGTGACTTTGGACCATGACCGTGGACCACACTTGCAGAAAATGCTGCTACCTAGTAACACAGAAGGGCCACAAACTTAATGTTTTACCTGCCAATGGAAACATTCTGTCCAATAGTTTGAAAAATTCCAAAGGCAAAAGACGTATTTGAAAATCAAAGTGGAATTATAATTATTTTATAATTATATATTTTTTCTTTTTTTCTTGTATATATATATATTTCTTTATTGAAGTATGGTCAATTTACAATGTTAAGTGTGAATTTCTGGTGTACAGCACAATGCTTCAGTCATACGTGAACATACATACATTTGTTTTCACCTTCTTTTTCATCAAAAGTTACTACAAGATGTCGAATATCGTTCCCTGCGCTACAAAGTATGAAGCTGTTGTTCAGCTGTTCTATTTATATCAGTTAGTATCTGCAAACAGCTACCTCCCAATCTATCTCCACCCACCTCTCACCTCCCCTCCCAGTAACCACAAGTTTGTCCTTTGTGTCTGAGAGTCTGTTTCTGTTTTGCAATTAAGTTTGCTTTTTTCCTCCAGATTCAAAATATGAGTGATATCATATGGTGTTTTTCTCCCCCTTTCTGGCTTATTTCACTTAGAATGACAATCTCCAGGTTCATCCGTGTTGCTGCAAATGGCAATATTTCATTATTTTTATGGCTGATGAGCATTCCATTGTATAAATAAACCACAGTGTCTTTGTCCAATCATGTATATAATGACACTGTTCTAAACGCCTGTAACAGACTTAGAAGAGCACCAATAAATGGCAGTGGAGGGGGCGGGAAGGAGACCCTGTGTCATTACACTGTATAACCTGGAGCCACCTCCTTAGAAGTTTGGAAGTTCACTGCAATGTCGTCCATATAAAGTGGGGGAAACGCCAAGCCACGGCATACGTTAAAAGCAAAATAAGATCCAGCGTCTAAATAGTTGCTCAAGAGTCCATGTAGTCTCATGGTGTCATGTCTGATTATGTGAACAGGCGCTCAGCTGTAGTTGCTAATTTGCCGTTATTCTTTTAGAGCTAGAGTGAGTTAAATTCTTTTAGAGTTGGGAGAACTGATTTTTAACTTAAGAAGTAACATGAAATAATACTTTGGTCTATGAGTCAGTGGGATGTTTTTAAAAATAAACTATCTGAAGTAAGAAAAAATGTTAGCTACAATATAGATTCGCTACAGTAACAAGAAAAAGAATTTCTTATTTCAAATGCCCCTGACTGCTCCTCATCCGCAGGATGTTATTGTATTCCTATGTGATTAGGGTGGGATTTCCTGTTAATGGTGTGTCATCAAGGTTCACGGCTTAGTCAAAAATTCAGTGTGGTGCTTTGATCGTCATTGCTGCCTTTGCAACCAGGGAGTGTTTGTGTTGAAGCAGAAACATGTGTGCTGGGGAACCGGGTTCGGAACCGGTACCGACAGACTCTACCTTCAGTGAAGCCGAGAATGAGGAGAGACTTGGTTCGGAACCGGTACCGACAGCCTCTACCTTCAGAGAAATCCAGAATGAGGAGAGACTTGGTTCGGAACCGGTACCGACAGCCTCTACCTTCAGAGAAGCCCAGAATGAGGAGAGACTTGGTTCGGAACCGGTACCGACAGCCTCTACCTTCAGAGAAGCCCGGAATGAGGAGAGACTTGGTTCGGAACCGGTACCGACAGACTCTACCTTCAGAGAAACCCAGAATGAGGAGAGACTTGGTTCGGAACCGGTACCGACAGACTCTACCTTCAGAGAAACCCAGAATGAGGAGAGACTTGGTTCGGAACTGGTACCGACAGCCTCTACCTTCAGAGAAGCCTGGAATGAGGAGAGACTTGGTTCGGAACCGGTACCGACAGCCTCTACCTTCAGAGAAGCCTGGAATGAGGAGAGACTTGGTTCGGAACCGGTACCGACAGCCTCTACCTTCAGAGAAGCCTGGGATGAGGAGAGACTTGGTAATGTAAAACTGATAAACTTTGCCAAAACAAGACAGGAGTCAGGGAGACAGGCGCTTTTCTCCCAGGGACGCATGGTGGAAACTGCATTTCAGGGGGGTTAGTGCTTCACACTTCATCTCTGTGGAGGGTGAGGTGTTTGGAGGGACTCGAGATGGGTGGGAGTTGGGTGGGGGG